TTCAACGAATGATGCCTGACTGTAACGTTACGCACATCATGTCGCAATTTTGAGCAAACGTTACCTGAATCAAATTTCGACATCATTTTCGAACTCAGGAGGGGGGTTTACCCTCCTACCGACCTTAAAACGCCAAGCGAAGCCCATCATATTCGTATTACATGAAACTATATTTCAATTATTGTTGGAATTGATTTTTCAAATGCACTCACTACAGTTCGACTTGAAATTCTGTGGATAACACGGACAAACTTTTCTTCGTCTCTGCGCTCGTCGATGTAGGCAAGGAGGGCATCCTTGAACGGAATGATGATTTTGCGTCCCTGATCTCCCAGAGAGCCCTTGGAACCATGCCGTTTGCTGCGAAGGATAGCATGCTCATTGTTGCGCCAACCACGCCATGTGGAGCGTGCGATTTGCATGTCGACGTAGAACTTAGCTTCGTCCTGTAGTGGTAAGGCATGAAAGTGGGCTAAGAGGCACTTACGGTCGCGGTTTGTGTACCGGCGATACTGCTTCTTTGGTTTGACCGAAGTCATTTTGGACTTTGAGATGAAGTGATGTCGATGCAAATTTGAAATCCAAATTCAAATTAACCAATCACAGCGAGCTTACTTTAGATGATTTGTCATATGTGAATAAAAGTGACGAGGCTTTTGGTCCAGAAATAGAATACCTCCGAATATTTATCATTCTGAAAACTTCAGAAAATCAAATGCATAGAGGCTATCGGTTTAGTAAGGTTTTCTTGTACCAGTTGCGATGTAGTACAAGAACAAATACATGTTATTCCGCAATGTAATAATTGTAAGCAATTGGTCGATACCTATCTTATCAATCTTGTCAAGTGCACATCACAGCAGTAACGTTAACATTGGATGCTTCATTTTTGAATTCGACTTCACGAAGTCATCCGGATGACAAATCCGGATACGAACGGCCCATCACTCCCACCAACGATCCAAACGCAACAGAATGCCAAGCAATGTCGGGCCCCATAGGGAGCAACGTCAAAAGACCCGCGCTCAGTAGTCGTGGGCCCGCTTCGGCCTGCCCATTGATTTGCTGGGCCGGATACCGGCGCCCGTCTCTGTCTATGGGTGTGCCAGGCATTATAAGGTATTATGTTGTCGTGATATTGCGCAAGCAAACCACCGGTCAATTATACATTCAAAATGAACCTGTATAACCGACTATTCTGTAGATTGGTTTGAGCCATCAAAGTTAACTGGCTCGTCAAGAATGTCGGAGGTATCGTCCAACTCTTGAATGAAATCATCACCATTTGGGATTTGACGTAGCATCGACATCAAGATTGCCGCCGACTCCTCTTTCGTTCTTCGTGAACAGGTACTTCCGCACCATTGATGAGATTGCACTTGACAAAATCACGTACAATCGTAGACTTGTGCATTGCTTCCCACGCTTCGACCCATTCAACGAGATTGTCGCGAGACG